GTGGTCTCTGAGATCCCAGTCAGATCGCCAGTCATGGGTCAGGGGGAGGAGGGTGGAGCAAACCCCTCCCTCAGGCCCCACCCCTCCGGAGCTCAGTCTCTGGGAGTTCAGTACACGCACAGATCCGGAAACTTCATCTCGTAGACCGGGATGGAGTGGTTCTGAGACTGCCCGTAGGCTGCGGTGATGGTCCCCGATGGACTTGGTGGGGGCCTGGTGGAGGAGACAGGTATGAGGAGGGGGCTGGTGGGGTCCCCCCCCCCAGGGCAGCCAAACGGCAGCTGACAGGGGCTGCTGTTCACCCAGGGTCTACAGACTGGGTCCCTCCGCAGGCTCCCAGGGTTCCACGGCATTCTCCAGGTTACAGCCTGGAGTCCAGCCTCCCTGTGGGCCTACAGTGACCTGGTCACTTAGGAGAGAACAGTGGTAGCTGGGGACACTAGGAGCCCTGGCTCTTCTCCAGGTTTCTGAGCGTCAATCTCACCTCTAGTTCTTTATCTGGGGAGGGCCGATGGCTGACCCGCAGCCTTGAGATGAGAGTTGGGGGCGAGGGTGTCAATGTGTGTATGTGGAGGGGTGGTGGTTGACGACAGGTGTGAGAGGAAGACCTGGGAGCGGGAGCCCCAAGCCTGGGCCACAGAGGTCAGGGCTGCCACTTACCGGATGGTGATCTCAAAGATCTGATTGAGTTTGCTCTGCAGCAGCGATGCCTGGACACAAACACAAGGAACCGAGGTGGGAGGGTGCCCCAGAACCCCTGCTGGCCGACCCCCAGGCCCGCCGACCAGAATGGGACTGCCCGGGCAGGGTAGGGGCAGCCTGAGGAGAGGACCCAGCTACGAGGCATTTCCTGTTCATCCTGTTCACCCTGACTGTGATTCAGTCCAGGGCCTGTTGGGCACAGCAGAGGGCAGGGACACCAGGGGAGCCTTCAGCAGGTAGCTACTGAAAGCGGGAGGGGGGTGGGGAGTGGTTGGGTAACAGGGTCTGCCGGATGGGAGCTAGTTCTAGCCGCCTGCTTAACTCCTAAGGGGCAGCTTTGCCAAACGTGGTGGGCTGGAGCAGGGCTTCTTAAACCTTTGCTACTGTGAGCTTTTCTGTCCCACGACATCGGTCACCTGGGCAAGCGCTGTCAGAAACTCTTAGGCTCCATCACAGGCTGGATTCGGAATGAGGGTTGGGTCGCTGTGCGACAGGAACCCGACAGCTGGTGCATTGTCTGCGCCACTCACATTCCGAGACGCGACCTGACGCCATGCGAAATCACGGTTTCAAGAAGCGTTGGGCTCGAGAAGAGGATCTCTCCGGACCTCTCGATCCAGTGGTGTCTGTGAACACCCACAGCGGTACTGGGAGCGGGCCTCACCTCCCAGCTCACGGAATGAGCAGCACCGGGCCTCCCCAGGCGGGCTGACAGGCAAGTCTATTTACACGCGCACACGAGCATGCCTACATGGGCATAGATACAGGCACTGGTGTGCGGATGGTCCTAATAGTGAGTCCACTTGGCTCCTAGTCCTAAGGCTGGGGGTTCCAAGCCCACCCAGAGGCGGTTCAAAAGAAAGACCCTTTTCTGAAGATCAGCCACGGGACACCTACAGAGAACACCTGGATGCCGGCACACACGGGGCGGCCCTAGTCAGGGTCACTTCAGTGGCAATGAGCTATTTACAGCAAATGTAAAGATTCAGACGACGTGGTTCGAATGGATTCTAATCCATTATCTCTCAGTAAGCCCCGGGGCACAGTGGTTATGGGTCAGGCTGCAGACTGCGAAGCTGTAAACCACCAGCCACTCTGTGGGAGAAAGACGAGGCTTTCCACTCCCATACAGGGTCCCAGCCTCGAAAACCCACAGCGGCGGTCCGGCCCTGTCCTGTCGGGTCAGGCGCGTGGGGTCGGCACTGACTCCATGCAGGGAGTCTGGTCGTTTAAATTCTCGTGGGAAGAAAAGGTACCATGAAAAGGCATGTCACTAGCAGATTTAGAGTGTTTGCAATGCTATTTCTTGATTAATCAGCTTGACATGGTGCCTAACAAGGTCAAGACACGTGCCTGCTTCTGCCTTTAAGTCCAGACCCAAGTCTGCATTTCTACTTCTCAGACGATGCTTCCAGATCTCACTCCCCTGGGTCCCCTGCCGGGGCCCCTGGTTAGAGGCTGGCCTGTGACAAACACCATCTGCCTTTCCTTTGTCATGGGCCTGCCCCTTTCACTCCACCAAGTGGGGACACAATGGCACCCACCTCACACAGGCCTAATGGGAACGCACTGTCAGCCAATGTCCGAGGCTGTGGCTCACAGGAAGTGCTGTGCCAAGGTTGGTACTAGGATGCCAGAGGGCTAAGTGTTCGGGCCGTGCTAACCAGAAGGCTGTTCTTTCAAAACTGCTGACTGTTCTTCAGGAAAAAGATGCAGCGGTCGGAATCCATGAAGATTACAGCCACACTCTAGTCCTGTGTGGACCTGATGGATCTGAATGGGTTTCTGTTTAATTCGATTTTGATGGTAATCTTTTGGTCTGTGAGGGAGCAATGTCATGCCCAGGTTTGGGGGAAGACCCTGGTCAGGGACACAAGTATCAAGGTCTAGAACCTCTGTCCTGCCTTGGACCTAAGCTGTGGGGGGAAGTCAGATACTTGCTGCCAGACTGCTGTCTCATCCCACCTCGGGGGTGGGGGGTGGTGGTGGTGGGGGGTGGGCCTGCTCCCTGATGCTAGAGACAATGGGTTACCTCTCTCTGGAGCCTAAGGCCATTAGTTTGGTTCCTGTGGGCAGAGTTCACACCCAACTGATAATGGTTCCTATGGAGACCCAAAATCAAGTTAAGCTGCTACCAGAAATCTAGGATCTGCCTATATTGCCACATGTACACCCCCAATCCCTCCTCCTTCCATAGCGCATGTCCCTAAATCACCCCCTCCTATCACTGTAATACCTGTAGCACAACCCTTTCCTGTGACGTATGTCTTCACCTGTAATGTGGGGGCTTGCATGTCCCCAATATCCCCAGAGAGTATAAAACTTGGGGAGCATTAAAGTTCGGACTCCCTCCACGTGGATTACCAAGCGGGGCTGAGGCGAGCATGCTACCATGAAATGTGTCTGACTCCATTTATTTCTATATATCTCTTATCTCACATGCTCTCTATAACTTTACTATCCTATTTACTTATTATCGCTGTACAATTGCGCCTACCGAACCCGTAGTGACTGTGCTAGGAGCTGGCTTCTTCTGGCACTAACCCTCCTCCGTAAGGCCTTATCCCTGCTGCGCCTCGCTTACCCGGGCCCCGCAGTGGGCAGCAATCTCCTCGAAGGGGGCTTTCTGGAACTTCTCCACCACCTGCCGCCGCCGCTCTCGCTCCTGCTCCTCCACCGCCACGCTGTCCACTGCAGGAGAGAGAGCCAGTTAGCCAGGAGGGCCTTCCCTCTGTGACCACAGGGATGACAGGATGGAGGGCTGTGGGCCCCTGCTTCAGTCCAGGAAGGACCTTTCCTTGACAGTGTGCAAGGACTTGACCCTCTTTCTTGTCTGGCAATGAGAAAACTAGTTAAGGAGACATTCGGCTGGGCTTTTGACGCCTCAAGCAATGGCGTTGCCACCAAGACTCTGAAACGGAAGTTCCTGGAAGGTCACTGAAAGGGGACATCCACACTGGAAGAGCCACGGAGACGACTAACGGCAACACATAAGCCCTTACAAGAACACGAACTGAAATCATTAAGTGTCCGGCATATCTCACTGGATATCCCAAATAAGTTAGCAAAAAAAAAAAAAAGTCAAATATGTTGACCGCACTTTAAGAAGACAGAGAAATAAAGCCATCAAGGACAAAGTAAAAAAAGCTTGTACATTTAAAAGCATACTGTATATACTCGAATATAAGTCCACCGAATATCAGCCAAGGCACCTAATTTTTACCACAAAAACTGCATTAAAAATGTGCTGAAAAAAACTCGGCTTATACACAAGTATATATGGTAAATTGTGAGTTATCAGATATAGTATCTTATTTGGAACACATTATTACCCAATAGCATCACTTTGAGTAATAAGATGCACTTGGCCCTAGCCCTAGTATTTTCGATGGTCTCAGACACATGCAGAAACAGGGCAGTGAATAAGGGAACTGGAGAAGAATTGGTGCACTTGAATTATGATGTTGGTGAAGAATCTTGAATATTCCATGGATTCCAGAAGAATGGAGAAAGCTGTCCTGGAAGAAGTACAGCCAGTAGGCTTCTTAGAAGCGATGCTGGCGAGACTTGATCTCACAGACTGAGTGCATGTGATCAGGAGGGACTAATTCTTGGAGAAGGACACTATGCTTGGTACAGTCAGCGATCGGCCAACAAATAAGACTTTCAATGAGAAGGATGGATGTGGTTACAAACATGGGAGGTTGTAAGGCTGGGCAGGACCAGGCAGCATTCTTTTCTGTTGTAAACAAGCTGACTTGATGGAATCTACCGACAACAGCATTGCCCAACAATCCTGATACACAAAGTTAGATGGTATTTAAAAGTCTACTGCCATTGATATTAATATATGTTCTTACTATTCCTTTTTCTAACTAGTTTAACTGGCATATAATGCATGTGTCCTGCAATTCAATAGCCAATCATATGAAGAAGAGTTGTGCAATCATCACCACAATCAATTTTAGAACATTTTCTTCTTTCTTGTACTCCCTGTCGTCAGCTCCCCCTTCCCTCCCCCCAAAGTCCCCTGCCATGCCACTAGGAAATTATTTATCTAGTTACTGGCTCTTTAGAGTTAGTTATCCTGGATTTCATATACAGAAAAAACAAACAAAAAACAACAGCAAAGACAAAATAAGACATAGAAAAACCTCAATTGAGAAGCAGAAAAATACTAAAAATGGAAATAACTTTAAACTTGGTCAAAAGGTAGCTCACATGACAAGGTGTAACATTTTAACCTAACTACGTCTGTCATAATCAACTTTACAATGCTCCCTGATAGCAAGACTATTCACATCCCTGGACTATGGACAGAGAAGATTCCCTGGAGGCTTAATCCACACGGGGATCCTGCGAATGGATTGGGTTTCCATTGTCATCCATAGCCTTCTGCAAATCAGGTGCTCAGAGTTGAAGCTCTGATATGGTTCCCTCCTCTGGATTTGGATTTTATTATTTAGAAGTCTTGGCTCACCGAGGCTGGTGTGCTTCTGGTCTTGTTGGTCAGCATATTCTTTTGAATCACCCTCCATCACAAAATAGTAAAAATATTTTTTATAGAATTGCTTCTGACCTATATGACTGGGTACAACTCTCCTTTGATTTCTTATTTATTTATCTACATAGTTTTATTGGCAAACAATTCATGTACCATACAATTCAATGGTTTAAATATATTCATGAGATTTGTGCAATCATCACCACAATCAATTTTAGAATATATTCTTTATCTTGTACACATTATTACTAGCCACCTCCATTACCATCAACCTCTCCTGCCCTAACCCTAAGGAAGTATAAACGTAGTAACAGTTTCTATGGAGTTATCTGTCCTGGATTTCATATAAGTGATACAAAAACCCCGACAATGACAACAAATCAGACACAGAAAAGCCTCAAACCAAGACAAGCAGAAGAGAACAGAAACCAATGAAAAATGAGTCAAAAGGGACAACAAATGGTAATATATTCAATTTTAACCTAACTACATCTGCAATGATCCACTTTCCCATTCACTCTGTTTGAGGGCTAGACTATGCATGTTTGGTCGATGGCCTGAGGGAGACCAGTAGAGGCTAATTCAGGTAGAGACCCTGCAAACAGATTTTACTGTCATCCAGGTATTCAGAATGTAAACTCTAATACCATTCCGTCCTCTGATGTTGGATTTTATGATTTACAATCCTTTGGTCACATGGGCTGGGGTGCTCCATTCATGTGGATTTAGCTGACGCCTCATTTAGATGGGTGCGTGCTTTAAGATAAGCCTTTAAAACCCCAAACACATTCTTTCTGATAGCTGGGCACCATCCTTTGATTATTTTTAAAGGCAGCTGTCACGGTAGAGAAATGGCTGCCTGTGAAGGACACACGGGGCAAACTCATTGGTTCCACTCGGACAGCATGGACTTCTCACAGCTGCTTTGATAGGTGTGATGATTTTAGATGACGCCAACAAGCCTATCCTTCAAATCTGCGCTGCATCACAATCACACTTGGGAGGGCAGCAGCTCAGGCCACCCCCTCCCACGAGCACCACACACGATGCAGCCCCCTCCCCTCCAGGCTCCGACTTACCAATAGCCTTCTTGAGAGTCTCATAGGTGATCTCCTCGGCAGGTACTCGCTGAGAGAGAGGAGACAGAAGTGCTCAGAGAGACGCAGGAGGGGAAGGAGCAGGCTCGGCTTCATCTGGCAGCCCATTACTATTCGGGAGGATGTCCTCAGAGGGGACACTGTCAGAAAGTCCTCCAGGACAATACTTTCATCCGTTCCAGGGACTCTCGAAGTCCTCCAAGCAGGGACAGAACCATTAATTTTAGGAAAACCAGAGGTGAGGGTGGAGGCTCATAAGATTCGGATGTCTCACCTGCATAAACCCACTTCCTCCTCCTCTTCCCCCCAAGCTTGTCTCATCAAGCCAGATGGGAAGAAAATCAGGTTTGGTTTGAGGATCTGGGCCACTAGGCGCTCAGGCTTCTGCAGAGTCTAGACACAACCCCCCAGTAAAATCCACAAACCAGATTCACGACTGTTGAGTTGATTCTGACTCATCAAGACCCTACCCTACAGGATAGAGTAGAACTGCTTCTTAGGGCTTCTGAGATTTTACAGGGGAAGACAGACTCAGCTTTCTCCAGTGGAGTAGCTGGGAGCTTTGTACCACTGACTTGAGGTTAGCAGCCGAGCAGCTATGAAAGGATGGGGAAATGATAAATTCTAAAGAAAGCGATTCCCTGAGTGCCTGGATTTCGGTCAGATGCCAAAAGGAGTGAAGGCATGTGGACTTAATCTCAGCAGTTCTGCTTGAGCCTGTGAGCTCTGGGAGGCAAACCAGGCTGGACTCATTGTTCTTACTGAAACGGAGGGTTAAGTGAAAGAAGCAGACACCAGAGAGAATAATACATTTATATAGAGCTCAGGAAGTGCCATATGTCAGGATAGTAGCTCCCGTGGCAGAGGGGTTTCCTGGGCGATGACAACGATTCTGTCCCCTGACCGGGGCACAATGGCATGGGTATGTGCCCTTTGTGAAAATTCAAGGAGCTGGGCACATTTGACTGTGTTCCCAAGACGTTTTAAGGAGGAAAGCAGGAAGCTGGGGGTATGGGATGAAATCATTCCACACATACCATGCGTCACTGTGTTGGGTGTGGGACTCTAGGCTGGTTTAGAGATGCCATTAATGGTGGGACTGCACATAGGAGAGAACTGTGCTGAGTTATAATTACATCCTGTCCATCTCTCCATCCCTCCCTCCCTCCCTCCTCCCGCCATGCATACACACATCTACCATCAGAGCCCCTGCTCAGGTCAGAGGGCCACAGATTAGGTCCTCGGGAGCTGTGTGGTGGCAACAGATGGAAAAAAGAAAGGTGGAGGGAGTAGAATAGGAAGAAGAGGCAAATGCTCAGCCTCAATGTAGAGAGAAAGGGCTGGCCAAAGAGGAGATGCTGCATCAGCAGAGATGTGGCCATGGAAACAGACATGCCCTAGGAGAGGCTGTGAGGAGACCAGTCAGAGAGTGTGGACGCATGGCTGAGAGGCGGGGCTAGGCCAACCTTTGACAGTGGAAGGAATCTATCTATCTATCTTAATCATTTTATTGGGGGTTCGTACAACTCTCATCACAATCCATAATCTATCCATTGTGTCCAGCACATTTGTACATGTGTTGCCATCATCATTCTCAAAACATTTACTTTCTACTGGAGCCCTTGGTATCAGCTCCACATTTCTGTTCCCCTCCCTCCCCCGCCCTCCCTCAGGAATCTATATTTGTGATACAAGAGTTTCTGAGGTTCTCTTAACTCTTGAGAATGGAGAGTCACCACTAGGAGGGATGAGGGTGGTCCATTCTGTTAACTGGGGCAGTCACCATCCTCATAGAAAAAGCATGTGAAGTACTGTATTGCTGAACTCCCTCATGATCACTCTCCCTGCTCCCATCTTCTCTCCGGGTTCTTTCTCACTGGGGGTGGGGATTTGGGGGAGGGGGGGCGGAGCTGGTGGGCAGATGTGCAGTGTTACCACTGTGAGCCCTTCCTCTCCCTTCTTTAGGGGTACACCTGCTTTCTCTCCTGAGACAGACGAAATGGGATCACGGCAGGGGAGAGGTCACATGACAAGTGGAACACAAGTGAGATATTCACAGCTCTCAAGAGACAGGGGGAAGGGAGCTCTTTCAGGCACAAAACAAAAAACCTCTATTGATTCATCTGGAAAGAAACATCATGAGAGCTCATCTCACCCGCAAGTCTCTTGGGAACCCTCCGGTTTCTCACACAGACCATGTCTGCTTCCATTTGCTGCATAGGGAGTGGCTACCAGCCAATTTCTCCAAAGTGATGCTTAGGATATTCTGTGTGTATATGTGTGTGTGTGTGTGTGTGTGTGTGTGTGTGTGTGTGTGTGTGTGTTTGGGGGGGCACTTGTACTCATGAGTGCACACGCCCACATGTGCACACACACACAGTATTTCCAGATGGAGAGCTCTGTAATCTACATGATGTTGTGAGTAAGGAAACAGTTTGTCCTATCTACGCGACCTTCAACGCTTCCTGGGTGAAGGAGGCCTGAGCAACTGGCATCTACCTGCGCAGGAGGTGGGGCAGGTAGGTCTGCACCAGGGCAGGGAGGAGACTCACCTCCTCTTTCTCTGGGCTGTTCCTGGATTCCACCTCCACCTGCAGGGAAATGGTCTCTCCAATGCTCTTCCTCTTGGATAAACGATCTTCATCTGGAAAAGAAGCACCCCAGAACTGGCGTTCCCAGCCCCTGGCAGCCAGCATCAAGAGCCTCTAGTCAGCACCTCTGATCAGTCCACAGCGCACAGGGGTCCCTGTCCACTGGCCACACCTGGAGCTCATGGGAGCTTCTAATATGCTCTGGTCATCTCGGCCTACCTAGAGTGGTCCGTTTTGATCTGTAGGGTGATGGTTCAGAAACGGTGGATGAGCACAAAGCAGCTGCTTACGACTGGACGGCACATCTCAACTTGTGGGCAGCATCATTTGCTACTAGGCGCTTTTGTCTTCACTATCTCATGCACCCTCCCCTCCCCCCTCAGGGCAGGTGGTACTGCCAGCCCTCTTCTACAGTCAAAGGAACTGAAACCAAGAGATGCCCAGGGGAGTGTCTACGATTATCCAGGCAGCGAGTGGCAGGCGGAGTCCCTCGCTGGTATAAATGGTTAATACGACTATCGGAAAGGTTGGAAGTTCAAGTCCACCCAGAGGCGGTTCAAAAGCCAGGACTGGTGATCGAGTTCTGAAATATGCATCCTTGGAACCCCATGGGGCACCGTTCTCCCCTCACACACAGGGGTTGTTATGCGTCGGAATAGACTCCAGGGCCACAAGCAGACATTGTCCAAAGGTTCAAACCAGGTCTCTGATTCTGTAGCCCAGGGGTGCTCTTCCCACCACAACGGGGCCTCTCCCGTCCATCAATCTCAGGGACTGTCTACCTCCAAGGAGACTTGGGAAGTTAAAGGGATCTCACCACGGATTTCCACTGTGTCATTCGGCTCCCATGTCGCACCCGAGGTGCCACAGAAGACCACCCAAGGACCCACAGGCCTTTACCTGGCCAAGAAAACCAGGCCAGGGTTGGGCGTCCCCACACAGCTCCTACCTGTCAGCTGAGGGATATAGGGCATGCAGAGCCTGTCCGCATTGTACCCACTGCCCCCTAGGACTTCGCTGATCTTGCTCTGGCGGAAGAGGAACTCGATCACCACTCCATCCAGGTTCGGAGACAATCTGGAAGACGAAGCCGGGAAGAGGCAAGTCAGGACTCCGGGCAGCTAAGCTGGTTCCCAGCGACTTTCTTCATTATAAAAGCTCATTACACACAAGGACTCCCAGGCCCGGCTTCCAGACAGATGCATTCTCGTGCACGGCGCACACACTCCCCACAGCCCACTCCTGAGGTGTGTTTCAGTCATCTGATGTTCGTAGAGAGAACGTTCTTTCCCCGGAAACATTTTGCCACACAGGCCTTCCGTGATTCCCTGTGTGGCCGGGCCACAATTGATGGAGCCTTGCACAAGGTCCGTGTGCGGAGCAAGAGAAAGAAGAGGCCGTCTGCTTCCTGGGGCCTCAGTCTCACGAACCCACAGGGGCTGTGGGGCTGTTATGAGTCGGGATCGGCTCGATGGTGGTGAGGTTTTGAGCATGCTGTTTCTCAGAACCTCTGTCTGTGCGGAAGTCTCAGCCCATGGGCGGTGGTCCCTGGAGGCTGCTTGATTTAAGACATGGCTCCTCTGGATGCCTGTCCCACGGGTTTGGCCGAAGCCCCCCTGAAGCCCATCCCACACGTCACAGGGCACAGCACCACCCTCGAGAAGCGTGGGTTGTGATGGAACGGGTGGGGGGAGGTCAGCATTTCATTCTGTTCACATGCTGTGGTTGAGCACACACACTCACGGGGACAGTCATCCCCTGCACGTGCAGCGCTAGCGGAAGCGAGGACCGCGCTCTCCAAGTTGCGCATCCCTGACTCTCTTTGCCCGGTGACTCCTCCCCCGTTGGCGTCTGCTTCCTGGGTGGCTCCCTTGACATCAGAAGCCTGAGCCTCATCCTCATGGGGCCTGGGGGACCTCTCCCACCTGCTACCCAGACTGCCTCAGGCATCCTTACCTGGGACTCTCCACAAACACATCCTCAGGTAGCATGTATGGGGCCTCCTTCTTCCGAGTCTCAATCACCTGGCGGGGCGGGGACGGGGGTGGGGGAAACCACACAGAGGAGCTGGATCAGGCCGGGAAGGGTGCTCAGCACAGCACCCACCTCCACCCAGTCCCCGCTCAGCCTGCCTGGCGGAGGCACTGTAGCGGGGTGTCGGGAGGGAGGAACTCAGGTCTCCAGGAGCCCAGAGCAGCCCAGGAATGCCCTGGGGTCCTGCAAAGACTGGTCATCCAAGTGCAGGGCCTTCATTCCTACGAGAGTACTTACAGAGCAGCGCATCTATTTCGTTCCGCTTCCCCAACAACACAGGGGGCCCTACCTCGGTGCGCTGCCCACCCACCCCGGGGCCAGTTTCCGCAGTACCCTTTGCATCTTTCAATTAGGGGGCCGACACTCGTAAGATACTGCGGAGTGCCAGGGCAGTAGGCCTGAAAGTGGGAGCCGGGGTGAGTCCAAGGAAACTCCTCTATTGGACCCAAGGTGGACTCCGGACATGGCTCTCCTGCAGTCTCTGCCTGGCAGAGGCTCCCTTGCGGTGCTCTCTGGCCCGCTGATGCAGCCAGCCCCTCCTCTTGCCCCGCCCCCCTCCCAGCCCCAGCAGCCTGCCCAGGTCAGCAAAGACTGAAGTTCTTTGTTTTATTAGTGTCTTTGAAAGTGAACCCTCATCGGCACATCATTTCACCTGTAGACCCTTGACACTACTTAAAGGGCCTTCCTGAGACGCCTGAGGACCTTGGGCACTAGATAACACCAAGGGTCTCTTGGGCCTTCCGTTAGGGATGTCCCTAGCATGGCGTGTGCGTTGGAAGACGCCCGTGTGGTTTCCGATGCGCACCCTAAGCGTGGAAGTGGCGTGACAGCTGGGCTAGCTTTAAACAGAGAGGGAGAAGGGGGTGATCGCGGAAGCCAATGTGAGGGGGTCTTGGTCGCTATTAAATCTGGAAGAGAGATGCATAGACACGGGACCTCCTGCTCACGCTACACTGAAGGTGCTTGAAAACGTTTACAGTAAGCCCCGTCTTAAGGGCGTATTTGTTCCACGTGATCGATGAGTGTGTGTGCGTGTGCCTCTGTGCTTCTACGAGGGGGGTGGTGGAGGGGGAGTAGAGGGGCAAGCAGCAGGTTAGGATCAGGTGTAGGAGACGCCCTGTGCCTTCCCCCCTGCGATGCCCCATCCCAGTGATTGAATTCCAGGGCAGGGTTCCACTTAGAAGAGGAGCAGCCAAACCAGCCTCTAGTCACTTCTCAAGCTGACTGCCTCCTTCAAACTTTTCATGGGTGACAGACAGGAAGCACAGGCCTCCTGCCACTAAGGGAAAGCTGGCCCCGGCCAGGAGCTGAGGGCCCGAGGGCTCTGGGGTGCTGAGGGCAGGGTGAGCAGGCGCAGCTGGCACCCACCTCATGGATGTGCTGGCAGAAGGCGGGCACCGTGGTGAGCTGGCTGATGAGGTTGAGGTAGGCAGCTCCCAGCGCGTACAGGGCACAGCGGTTGTACACCGGCAAGTTGTCCTCGTTGACCTGGGCCGCGTCCTGCGGCGACAAACCCAGAGGGGCCCCGCCGGTGGCATTTTCAACTCACAGACCCTAACGGGTCCCCTCTCCGCCCCAGTCTCTTCGGAGAAGGGGAAGGTTCCTAGCCCAGGCCTCCCCCCGCAACACAGGCCCCACCAGCACGTCCCAGGAGGCAGAAGCCACCCTCCCTCAAGCGGAAGTGAACGGTCCCCTAGGACAACCCTTGTGTGGAGAGGCTCTCAAAGGCTCTTAAGGAGCCCCAGGGTGATGGAGTCACTGAAGGTCAATTTTCTCCGCTGCTGAGCAAAACACGAGAGGGCCGACGTCTGCTTCCAGAGAAGCCGCCAGGAAAGGCCTCGTACTTCTGAGACACCAGCCTCGAAGGCCCCTCGGAGCACAGTTTCTTCGATGGGGTCTCCGCTGTGACCGGAACGGACTTGATGGTGAATGTTGTGGCTCTTCTTTAGAGTGACAGCAGCGTCCATCTTTTCAGTCCTGGGACCTGGGACTTGTACGCTCAGCCCTTTCACTGGTCCCCCCACTAGGATGCTGCCCCCTCCTTAAAGTCCCCCAGAGTCTTGGACGCCCGAGGGTAGACTTGCTAAACTGGGTTCCTCTGCTCGGTTGAGAGTGGAGCCGAAGTGGCCAGAGAATCTCCACAGGAGGGAACCGCAAGTTCTAGCACTTGAGGGGGGGCGGTTGGCAGGATCGGGCGCCATTGAACAGGGGATCAAAACCTCTTGTCCCTGAGTTGCCAGGCTTACCGCAACTCGGGAGTCTGGTGCCCCATCAGCCTCCAGGTTCTGGGGACCCTGGTCATTGAGGTCTGAAGGACTCACCTCAACTCCTGCACCTCGGGGTGCGCTTCCCCTCGGCAGACTCGGGAAGTCCACGGCCTTCTTGAGTGCCATCCTGGCGACCTTAGAATCCATCCCCTAGGGCTTGAGAAGTCCAGCGAGGTCTCTTGGATCGAGACCCTAACTCAATGGCTCTGGCGTCACTGGCAGGGTGGCTTTTTAATCAATACTCGAGGCAATTCTGAAGCCAAGCCAGTGAACCTGAGAACTGTTAACACGATTGGCACCGAGTCGATTCCAACGCCCATTGACCTGTCAGGACGAAGCAGAACCCCTCCACAAGGCTGGGGACACTGCCAGTCTATACAGCAGCACCAGCTTCACCTTTCCCCATGGGGGTGGCCGGTGGGTTTGACCTGCTGTGCTTGCAGGTGGCGGGCAAATGCTTCACCACTGTATCATCGGGGCTCCTTCGAGGGTCTTTAGAGCATCACACAGCTGCTTTGGGATCACCCGGGACTTGTGGGCAGTGATCCCTAGGATCCCTCGGTCCTCCCTCGGTCCTGGGAGATGCCTGTGGTGTGTTTGTAAACAGTCCCATTGCCCCGTGTTGGGTTTCCGTATTTGAAAATGCTCCAAAGCTGTGCAGAAGGTCATCAGCGTCCACCTCCTCCGAGGCAGGGAGCCAGGCTCTTCTTCTGCGTCTGTTCTTTGTCTGGAAGCTCCGCTGACATTTGTTCACTTTGGGGGACCCTGCTGGCACGTGAAATACCAGTGACACAGCTCCCAGCATCACAGCAACCCCCAAGCCGCCTCAGGACGACGTGCCGACAGACAGGTGGCGCCTTTGAAGACAGGTGGTGCCTTTGAAGACAGGTGGTGCCTTTGAAGACAGGTGGTTCCTTTGAAGACAGGTGGTGCTGGAGAAGAGTCTCAAAAGCACCATGGATCCTTGAAAGGCCTAACCGATCGATATTGGAAGAAGGCAGGCCTGAGTGCCCCCTCTATTAGAGGCAAGGATGGCAAGACTTCCTCTTACAGACTATGGGCGCATTGTCTGGAGAGAACAGGCCCTGGAGAAGGACATCGTGTTTGGTCAAGTGGAGGGGTGGCGACAGAGAGGACGGCCCTGGTGGAGATGGATGGACACAGGGGCAGCTCGAGCACTGGAACCATTGTGAGGACGGCGCAGGACTGGGCGGTGTTTTCTTCTGTGCTGCCTCGGGTTGCTATGGGTTGGAGCCAAACTCAATGGCACCTCCCAATATTCCCCTGGGTCTCCTTGAGTCTGAGGACGGGCCAAGGCCATGAGTGGCACTCTCATTGGTGGCTCCCCAAACCCAACCGTGGTTCGAGTGCCCATTGTGGAGAAATGGCCAGCCAAGAAGGCGTGATGCCTGGACTCCAGGACAACCTGCTACCACCGACTGGGCTGCACTTGCCTTTGTGCTTGGCCCAAAAAAGCCTCCCCACTCCAAATACTCCCAGGGCCCACCTGAATAGCCAGCACCAGGCGGATGAGGTCCACCACCACCTCCTCATTGGCCAGCTCGATGCTGATGAGGGCCAGCAGGCTGTAGAGGGCCTTGTAGTGCTGCTGCATGTTGGTCTCCTCCTTACAGCTCAGGTAGATGTGCCGGCAGAGCTGCTGGGAGTGCTGGGGGAGGGGTGGGGGTGGGTGGGAACAGGAGGTATCAAGACCAGTGGAATGGAGGGGAGTAACCACTTCCGCCCTGAGGGCAGTGGGAGGGTGCCTTTCCAGGAGGGCTCCTGTGGAACACATGCTGGGCATATGTTTGGGGGAGGGAAACCCTGAAAGAAACCAGCACCCAGAATGACGCTGCTTCCCAAACCCGGCTTCAGGGGAAGAGCGCCATCTATGGCCAGAGACTGGCTCACACTTTGCTCTTTCTCACTTGCCTCCATTCCGAACCTCGGCCCTCCAAGGGGACCATGGGTCGCCCCGACCGAGCACATGCAAAAGGGGCGAGGCAGGCTTTGTGGTCAGCAGTGACCTGGGCCAGCACTCGGGGTTCCCGCGTCCAAGGCCACCCTCACTCACCTTCTTCATAAAGACCGTGTCCTGCCGGGAGCATTTGTCTACCTTCAGCTTCAAGACAGAGATGTCACTGAGGGTGCTGGGAGAGGAGGGGAGGGGCCGCCTTAGCCCAGTCTCACTGGTTCCTCACTCAATACCATCCGTTTGTCCCAAAGCCCCCTCATGGCTTTCGCTCCGTTCTTGTGCCCGATCTTCCTTTCCTCCCAACTCCTCACGTTCCAGTCCCTCTCTCTTAAATCTTGATCCTGGTGATCTTACTCTTCCTCCTCGTCTTATTCTTCCAAATTCCTTTAGCTCCCGCAGAGAGTCCCACCTATCCTTCCTTTTCCACCTGAACACTCCCTTGAGTGCCTGCTCCTGTCCTCCCAATGTCCAGGCCCCACTCCCAAGGTTCATTTCATGCGTCAGTTAACCTAAGGTCTGGCTCCCAGTTGTTCGGCCAAACAGGAGTCGAGTGGCTCTTCCATCAAGCCATCCGACGTCAATGTGCATGCCACTGCCTCCCCTAACGAAACCCAGAGAAATGTCATCCGTCAATCAGCTGAACAGGTTCCTCAGGGCATGGACTTCTCCAGATTGGAAACAGGTATTTTGGGAGAATTTTGCGTGGCATCCTTCCCATCGCCTGGCGTCCTGACTTTGGACTTACCTGGCTCCCACATGCGGGAGTCAATTCCTGGAGGCTGACCTCGCTCATTCTTCTTTATTTTTTATTTTGACGTGTACTTCTTTTTAAAAAAATCATTTTATTGGGGGCTCTTACAATGTTTATTACAATCCATACATCCCGCATATTTGTACATATGTTGCCACCATTCTTCTCTAGACAGTTACTTTCTATTAAGCCGTTGATATCAGCTCCCCCCCCATGACCCCTTGATAGATTATAAAGTATTATTTTTTTCATGTCTCACCCTTCCCCTATAGTTTCTGTTGTTCTTTCCCTTGGAGGGGTGTGTGTGGTTGTGTGTCGATCATTGTGATCGGTTCCCCCTTCTTTCCCTGCTCCCCACTTTCACCCTTCCCATTCCGGTTCCTGGGTTGCGTGTGTCGTGAGCTCTTATCTCTTATTACATGCTCCGGTCCAGTCCCAAGTGAGAGGCATCACTGGGTCGTGGTGACTGGGGTGAGGAAGTCTCAAGGAACCAGACAAATATTGTGTGTTTCATCGGTGCTTTACTGCACCCCGGTTCTCACTCATATATACATGAGAGGGTTTCAAAAGGTTCACGGGGGTGGGGGGTATCTATTACCCTTTTTTGTGAATTGAATGTTTCCATGAAAGTTTGAAGCATCTTAATAACTATCTTTCTGGCTGTTTCTTTAGAGAACCCTGGCCAAGATAACCAGCCCCTCCTAGTTCCAAAGTCAGCCCTCTCCTTGCCGACCCAGGACCCCAGAGTCAAGCTCTGTGCTCGACTCTCTGGTAGGTTTCCATGAATACTTGAACTGTCCTCCCACCTGGTCGTCGGGCTACTGGCCAGGAAGACAGGCCCTGTGAGGAGTCTTGCTCTTCATCTCCCATCAGCTGGAGGGAGCCCCAAACTCACCTGATGCTGGAGAACTTGTGGCGGTTGCCATGGCGATCGATGAAGCTGATGAGAATCTCTAGTACAAAGAGACGGATCTCGGCATCCTCCATGAGGGCGGTGGAGAGAAGGCGGTCCAAGAAGTTGCTGGGCAGGGCTGACATCATGTTGCTGGACTGGAAACCTGTGGAGACCTGTAGGGGAGCCCAGGGGGTTGGGGGGGTGGGG